CGGTTGGACCGAGCCAAAGGTTTGTGGGCAGACGAACTACCAAGTGTTCTATGGGCACACCGAACTACGGAAAAAACCGCCACAGGTGAGACCCCCTTTAACCTCACATACGGCACCGAGGCAGTAATCCCGGCGGAAATCGAAGTACCTACGTTGCGACTAGAAGCGTGATTACTAATTTCTCATAAAAACTTTGAATAATAAATTTTGAATATTTTTTAAGTTATTAATAAACTTTGAATAATTTCTCATAAAAAAAATAAATTTTGAATAAATTTGGCAGGTGATTACTCATCTATGATGACAAAGATCATCTACTCAACTTTCTTAGCATGGATAAAAAAAGAATTGATTATGTTCAAAGATTTTATTTTAGGGTACACAAAATTCAACTGTAGCAGGGGAGGTGTTTTGGCATGCCCACTTCCAAATCAATAGTTTATCTATAAGTTTTATCAGTTCTTATTAAGGCTTCACAAATTGACAATTCCGTGAAAATTGTATTTATTAAAGTTTTTAATATTTTAATATACCTGAACAAACCCTGTGTTTCACTTCTGTCCAAAATCGTCGGATGATCACATAATGCAAGAACCTGAGAGAAAAAGGTAACGACAACCATTGAGAATTTCTCTATTTGAGCAAATATGTTAATAGTTTTGTCCAAAAGCTAATATTTACCAACCTCTCGGAAATATGTAATTGGCTGCTGACCAAGAGATTGAGGATTTCCAATATTACAGTAAAGTATCTGCAGAAAAGGATTCAGTATAGAGGTGAAGTGATATTTATTTATTTTTTGATTTACAAATTACAATGAAGAGCTTTATTAGGAATCAAAGAAGAAATACAAGAGCACAACAAAGGAGGCAAAGCCATGCAATCAGGAAAAGAAAACACATGGAGTAACTTTAGACTTGGGATAAACTTAATTATAGGATTCTCAAGGCACTAGTTGGGCACACTATGACAGCTATTATGGATATTTCAATGAAACTCTGTAGCCGAGTCATCTTAACTTAAATATGAAATCCTCAAACTAAAACAGCAGGATTTTTTTCTAGTTCTGTTTTGGGGTTATAACCTAGTTATAAGTTACAATTGTAATCATTACACTAATCTGGGTCTATTAATGTTTCCAGTTCAGTTAGTACAGTAAAAAAATCAAAGATATCACAACATCATGAATAAATCTCTACGTATGTATCTGGCAAGGTCAGTTAAAAGTTTGTCACTTGTACAGAAACTCTAAGGAGGTGATAAGTATATTTAAGGTATGATGTCACTAAGGTTTCTTGCTTATGAAGAAGATCCAAGTAGCTTGCAACTTGCAACCAGGTGCTAAGAAGATGATATATGTAGACTGAATGAGGATTGCTTGTGAAGACATATCCAACTCTATATAAGTGGATCTATGGTTGTATTTTGTGAAGGGGATAGAAGAGCTAGGGGTAGACCAAAAATGACTTGGGTAAAAGTAGTAAGAAATGATTTAGGCACTAATGATTTAACAATGGATATGGCTTTAAATCCAGATTTTGGACCCCTTCTAGCTCTGGTACCTTTTTGTGCTTCATTCTTTGAAACCTTAACTCAGCCTCCTATCCCCTTTGGGTTGTCCTTTCCAGTTAAGGAAATTTGGAGCAGGCCTATTCCTCCTCGGGTTGGTTTTTTTTGTTGGGAAATTTTCCTGGAAAGAATCAACACTTTAGACTTACTTCAAAGAAAGAGACCCAACTATTGTCTACTTCCTAATAGATGTGCTCTT